TGCGTTTCGTTGTGCGCGTCGTTGCGCTAACACTTCCTCGCTGCAATACGGTGACCTTTCATTTTGCTGCGCTGTTCGCAGTGTCGCGCTACCGTCACGACAATTTCCCCTCGCAGTACCATTCTGCGGTGACCTTTGGTCCCGTTGCGCGTTTCCACTCGCAGTACCATTCTGCGGTGACCTTTTATCCACTTGTACTGGTTTCCCGATAACCAGTTCGTTTTGCTGCCGTGACGGCATCCTTATAGCCGTTTCAATTTCCTTTTGCAATGACGACATCCATCTAGCCGTTTCGCTTTGCTGTGGCGGCATCCATATAGCCGTTGCACTCTTCGCGTTCACTGCAGTACCATTCTGCAGTGACCTTTCCCTTCCCCGTTTATCCGGTGGTTTCGGGTCGGGTCGATCAGTAGGCTCACCGGTGTCTACTGATCTTGCCCGTTTCCTGAACCGGCGCCCCACCTTGTTGCGCGCCTTGTCCATTTCCTTGCACGTTTCCTTGTCCACCGTTATTTACCGGGACATAATTTTGTCCGCCTCCGTTATTCTGGCCACCACCATTATTTTGGCCGCCTCCACTTTGTTGAAAGTTTCCTTGGCCGCCTCCGTTTCCGCCGTTGCGGTAGTTTCCGCGGCCAAAGCCTCTGTTCCTTCCTCTGAAGCCGCCACGGAAACCGCCACGATTGCCACCGCCTTGTCCGCCGTTTCCGTTTCCATAATTTCCGTTTCCTTGCTGATTTGGGAAGCTGGCTTTCGCTTGATACCATTGGGCGATTAGGTCGTATCCGTTTGCCACTGCTTGGCGCCAACCACCCAGGTCGCGCAGGCGTTGCCATTCTCTAAAGGCAAACAGGTTCGGTTCTGTTCTGGTGGTGTGTTCGCGAACTTGCATCCTTGGGTCTGGTGGTTGCCATACATACAGTATTGGCACATCTGCGCATTGTTCGCCACCCATCCATCAATCATCTGGAACTTAAACTCCGTTCGTGACCCTTGATTCTGCTGGAAGTTATTCTGATTTCTATTTGGCTGGAAGCTGCCTTGACCTTGACCTTGGAAGTTTCCTTGACCTCCGTTCCAGTTCCCATTTCCATATCCATTTCCTTGTTGTGGTAACCCAGTATTCAAAGGGGCCACGTTCTGTGGTGCCGGTGGGACCACATTCTGCTGTGCCGGTCTTACTTGAGCCGCCGCTTGTATTGCCGCTACCATTGCGTACGTTATCGGTTGTCCCGTCTGACCATCGATAAAGGTCACTCTTTCGGTGACCTCTCTGACCGGAGTCTCCACACGGTATTCCATTTGCTGCTGGACTGGTGCAGCTGCCATCCTCTGTTGTGGTACATTTTCAACTTGGCCTTGGCGGATAGTCGCGTAATCTTGATTACGTTGACCTTTAGGCGCTTTATATTTATCTTCGCCGGTGGCCCAATGTCTGAAGAAGTCCTTTACGTCAGTTGGCGTTCTGCACTTTTGTGTACGCAGTGCCTTGTAGAGTTCGTTATCCACTCGGCATCCTTCAATCAGGAATCCCACAGCTTGTTTTTCGGTTATGATTCTCTTTGCTTTGAATCGCATCATCGCTTGATAGTATTGGTCAAGCGATTCTTTTCCCAATTCGAATTTTCTTGCATAGGCCTCACGTAGGCCTAGGACTTCTTCATCTCGATCACCGTATTCATCTTTAAATTTGTCCATCCATTCTGTTACTGAATATTCGATCCCGTCTTCTGACGCGATATCTTTTTCGCTTTCAAACCAGGTTTTGGCAGGACCTTTCACCGCACTGGCTATCTCGATCATGATCTGATCGTCGGTGAGCTGGTAAGTTCTCTGCGTATCTTTTACCAGTCTGGTCCAGCCATTCACAGTATCACGACTGCCATCAAAGGTCACGAGTGGCGTTTTTCTGGCCATAGAGTTGAGCGCCTTTGCTAGTGCAAATCCCGATTGCGCTTTCTGATCCTCTTCCTCTTCGCCACTTTCGTCGTCGTTTGTATTTCGCCTCTCCTTTGCATAGCGAGACTTCCGTGGGCGTTCTTGCCGACTAGATTGTTCGTCCCGTCGTCCTTCGTTGACAAAGACGTTCGTTTCGATGTGCGGAGGGAACTGTGAGGGATCGCCCCGGCTCATATGTGGGTATCCTTCCGACAACTGCTCTCTATCCTCATTGACCTTTTCGCCATTTCGCTCCGTTTTCACGCTTCCTTTACCGGTACCAGTTCGTAATGGCATTTCGAAATGGAAGCTTTTGCCCGTGCCCGTTTCGTGTGCCTTACTATAACTGGGCGGAGGGGACTCCACTGTTGCCGTTTTAACTCCGTATTGTAGGAGTTGTTCATCTTTGTGCTTGTTGGACGTCTGGAGCGCCTTGTTCTCGTCTTCCAATCGTTTAGTTCTCAAATGAAATTCTTCTCTTTCTCTCCTTAAGTCGGAATTTTCCAGGTTGACCTTTCGTAGGTGTTCTTGCAGTTTAAAAGATTCCTGCTGAGTGACCTTTTCATTTTCCCGTTCCATTTTTTTGATGTGCTCGACCAACTCAGTCGTTTCATGTTCGAGTTGCTGATACTGCCCAGCGGCTGATCTCAACTGATCCTTGATCGCGATCAACTCATCATCTTTCGCCAGTGCCGTAGTAGTCATCTCGAGCAATTCAGTGTTCAACTTTGTGACTTCCTGGCTCTTTTGAGCGATCTGTTGTTGCCATTCTTTATCCTTCAGCTCTAATGTCGTAACCATTGTATCCAGTCGTCGTGCTTCCTTTTGCCATTTGAGCCCTTCTTTAGTGACCTTTTGAATATCCGCAGTGACCTTTTCGTTTTCGTCATTAACCTTTTTAATTTCTTCTTTCAAGCGTTCCCCTTCAGTGGCTGAAATGTCTCTCACCTCACGCATCGCCTTGATTGCGTCGTTGCGTAGCTTTTCTGCTTCATCCGCACGTTTTTGGTGACCTTTCGACTCATGTTGTAGAATGCTGATATCTTCCTCTCGCTGCTTCAGATCGTTCCTGAGCTTAAACGTCTCCGTTGCCAGTTTTGTTAAGCGTTGTGTGACGCCCGCAAGGTTGGCCGCGTACTCGTCCCGCTTTGCCTCTGCTTCGGTGACCTTTTGGCGTAACTGGTCACATTCGTCCTTCAATTCGGCTAAGTACCGTGACCTTTCCGCCGACTCTTCTGACATGCTTTCATTGAGGTCACTGACGGCGAGATGACCTTCCATTTCTCTGTCATCTGCTATCTTTAGGTACTCATCCGCAATGTCTTTTTGTCGTTCATACTTGATTTTCCATTCATCCGCTGCGCTCTCCAAGTCGCTCTGTTGTTGTTCCAATTCATACAATCGGGTTTCAAGTGTCATCAATCTGTCATGATATTCCTGTTTCTTCTTAATCGCCTGACGTTCCTTGGCGTCGAGTTCGGTCTCCAGATCCTTGACGCGGATCTTCAGAGTCGCTGTGGGACTATTCGGTGACGGCGGTCGTACGTTTATGACCTTTCCAGTCTGTGTCCGTTCAATGAGATGCTCGGGTATTTCTTTGAAAGGTGTTATCCCTTCAGCACGGTCGGCTTGTCTCATCGCTGATTGGAAGGACATATTTATCGTCGTTTCATCGTCTGTGAAGTACGATTCATTCGAATCATCTGAGACCATTGGAGTTGCCCAAAGGTCATCGCCTGCGGTTTTATCATTCAGTGAAAGGTCATCCAATCCCAGTTCAGCAAGTTCCTCTTCAGTGACCTTTGTCTTTTCAACTTCCATCTGAGCCAGGTTCACGTTTTTATCCTGCTCGTCAATTCCGACAGTGGTAGCGTCCAGCTGTGATGCCCCGACTGCTTCCACTTCCTTTTGTGTGGTTCCATCCTCCCCAGTGACCTTTGTCTGGTTCATCGGTTCACTTCCCGCCGCAGGCGCGGGAGTGTGCTTCTGGTCGTCACTGGAACTTTCCTGATTGGCGACCGCCTCGAGCGCCTTCTGATAGGTACTATCAGAGCCTCGCGAATCCTTCTTCTCGAATGCCTTAGGCGCTCGAGTGTTCCGCTCATGTCCAACTGGACGTGAGTACGTGTGCAAGTCCTTTTTGTACGGATTCGGTGCACCTTGCTGTGAGCTGCGGAGCTTCTGCTTCCCTGACTGCTGTTAGATGTCGGCTCCTCTTTGTCCTTGTCCATATTGATCGGATAACTCTGACGCCCCTGCCAATTGTTCTCACACACACGTTATTGTATGGTTTATTCAATTGTCCTAAAGGTCACTTTGTACTTTCAAAATTTTTCTAAGTCCCTGTTAAAGGTCACTTTTCGATTGAAAAATTTCGGCTAAGTCCCGTTTAAAGGTCACTTTTTCGATAAAAAGTTCGAGAATTTTGCTCTAAAGGTCACTTTCCAGACAATTTTTCGAAACCGCTTTTACAATTCGGAACACATTTACGAGCAATTTCCTGCGGCTGCCGATATCGCTGTACTATTACTCGGTTCAATTTCGTTTCAATAAAGGTCACTGTTAGTTACTTTTAGATCTTAAAGGTCACTTCCAAACTCAACTCAGCTCAAAGGTCACTTTCCAGCTCGATTTCTGTTAAAAGGTCACTTCCCAGCTCAATTTAATCAAAGGTCACTTTTCAACTCGGTTTTAAGTTAAAGATCACTTTCCAACTCAATTTCAAATAAAGGTCACTTTCGAGCTCAATTATCTCATCTCAGTCAAATTTTCCATTACGACTCGAGTTCAACGGAAAATCCCCATTCGGGTTGTTTACTTCGTTCTGATTGGTCCGCTAGCTCAATTTACTCAGTTCAAATTTTGACCAATCACAGCTCAGATAACTGACCAATAACGTTAGTCCACTTAGATTTTATATCTGCCTGACGTCACGGTCAGCGGCCAGACATGCGCACCGTGTGCAAAAACTCCGCCTGCGTCTATGCTCAGCTCAGTACGGACCAATGAAAATTGACGATTTTACCGTCTAACCAATCCCGTAATTAATAACGGTTTTCTACCTGTTGACCGTCCGTTCCACAGGGAAAATGATCCAAATGATCCAATTTCTTCTCCACCATCCGCTCCCGCGTTGCCGCTTTTCCGTAGCGGTTGTGCCGCACGCTTTTAGTCTGTTACTGTGCCGGCTGACTGCCGTAGCAACAGTAGTGGTGCTCTACTCCAGTTTGGAGGAGTCTGATCTGGTCTTGTCCCGTGCGCCCCTTTGGCGCTTCGCCGCTTGTGGCCCACGGCTTAGGATTCGCTGAATCCTTGCCGAGTATCGGTGACACCAGTGTAGGTCTTCGCTGAAGACTCTACACCGAGGAACACCGACGACTGAAACTCTTGAACTCTTGCACAGCTAAGGAAACAGCACGGTTCTTCGCTGAAGATACCGTACCGAAAACCGAAGCTGGAAATCCGCGTCCGTCGGAGGAAATTGCACCGCTTGTGGTGTGCGCTTTGCTGTTTGTACAGACCTGTGCCTTACTGGTCACGGATAACACGTCAAAACAGGCCAAATATGCCTGGCACAAATCAAATCAAATCAAGTCAACTCAAATCAGAGAACCGCTGTCGGCTCTGCTACCATCTAATGCTAGATCCAACTGTGATCCAGATACGGAGACAGAAACGGAATCTATCCCGTGGAGTGAGCTATGCGATATGTATAGCGAACCACGCGGAATCGCGAAACGTCGCACCGCTAATAGCTGACTTTTTAATATCGAAAATCTGCACAACAGAAATCAACATCATGATCGGCACAGCTCGATCGTAAAACGTAGAGCCAATTCCACAGTGTGCATCACTGTGCAGCACGTGCTATGCCGCGCCCACTAGCCAATCAGAGCGAGACACAACACAGACACGTAATCCAAAGGCGTAGCGCCTAGCGCCACGGACGTGAACGCTAGTGAGCCTCGTCTCACAACAGGATTGTACACAGTACCTGGCAACCCAAATTAATAAAAAATTCTCTTGTGCGCTTAAATGCGTCTTTAAATTATTTCTTTCTGTATTATTGACAACATTTTCAATCGAATCTCAAGAATCCCATTTCTTTTGTTATCTCAAGGATTAAAAAGTCCCCATTCACTATAACGATATAAACAAACAATGAAGTAAACTCAATACGTTGCGAAGAATCCAAGTTTGTGATAATTACTGTACAACAACAGCATAAATTCGTGCGACCAAAAACTAGCGATACAGTAACACAGGCAACATAAGAACGAAGAGTGAGAACATACCAAATACCATGAAATCCAAAGCTAAAAGACATACAAAAACATTACCATCATATTTAGAAGAGCGCGCACGCAGTGCTTTCAGGGGCTAAAATCCCAACTTTCCCGCCAGTTACGTAATACGGAGACCGACCACGAAGAAATACGCTCTTTCCGTTCATCCGGACACTCACTAAGGATCATCGCACGATGTAGGGCATATATCTTCAGTTCTCCCAACTTCCTGAGATGCAAATCATGGAGCCGAACTGGACTTTGGCTACCTAGAATCTGCATCAGCATCTGCAACAAAGGACAGTTAACATGATTTTGGGCGTTGTTTCTTCTGTCGATGCGGACTCACCTGAATGATTCCAGCGGATTTTTGAGTGTTCATCTGCAGATTAGCCATCCATGCAGAAATAATAGGCAAGTCGAGATCAACACCGCAAAAGTGATCATTTACGAAACAGCGCAAGTCGGAGGCGAATTGCCTAAAATCGGGACGCACCGGCATTTTACCACAGCGCAACGGCTCTCCTTGCAAAGTCTCATAAGGCCCTGTGAAAGTGCAGTTTTTCCAGAGCAAAATGCTAACCACGGAGGCAACCGTTGCGAGGGCGATTTCGTCGGCGTCCGGCCAGCCGAAATTGTCCAAACGCAAGTGAACTTTGTGCAGAATGACAGCAAATTTCTTGCCTGCACATAAGTTCTTGATGGCGAACTGAATAACATGCATGCAGTCACTCATAACAGCAGTATAATTATAGCAGCCAAAGTCCGCATTGCTAATAATAATCCGCTGCGTATCCGGTGTGACGCACTTCCATAAGCAGGCACCAACAGTGCGTGCTGAACAAAGCCATGCATTTCGCTGGACACGGGAAGCTTTGGTTTTGTCGGGGAAATTACCCGCAGAAAAAGAGACCCACACCACGGCGCTGGTTGCCGGTGTGTCCAGCAGCGCATTCCACAGTGAGCATACACGGCTGCACTTGACACGGTCCACAGTGAGCATACACTCAAAGATCAGCAGCAGAATCGACATCTGTAGTTGATGCAAAGATTCAGTGGAATCAGCGACCGAACGCGGAGAAGATTGCTGTTGCGGTGGGATCCAGCGGGATTCATTTAGCAGCCATCCTTCGGATAATCGCTTCTCGGCTTCTTTTCTTCTTTCGGTAACATATCGCACCTGGAAGTTGATTGAGCGTTGTACAATATTTCCGTTTCAGCAAGATGATTTTCAATTTTTTGTTAGTTATTACAATACTTTCTCGGTTCACATGCAACACCTATGACTGCAGTATTCCCAAGTTCCATATGCGCGAGTAAGAGGGGATGTCCGTGGCTCACCTAGATAATCCCTGTACTTGCTGCCGTCAGCCGGCTGGTGTTTTACGTTGTGGCTATACATGGCGCTTATGTACCGCGCCTGATTTAACCGTATGTATTGCCGTAACGTCACACTCCAGGCGGGTGACGGCAGCAGTACAGGGGATTATCTAGGTGCGCTACTGACATCCCCTCGTATATCAATTTACATAGACGCACGAGTAGCAATCAGTCACTGTAGTACCCGTGGAGCGGTCTGAGCTGGTGGTATTGCACTATCACTGCCTTATAGTTAATGCTTTCCTCGTGGTACGCTTTTTAGGCGGCGTTCAAATATTACGTAACGGCCAAGGGTGGGGGGGTGGTCTGGCCGAAGCGTTACGGCTTTGTTACATGGGTAGGGGGTGGGTGGCCAGCATGTTACGTTACCGCCACTGAAAATAAAGCTGAAATATTTTATCTTATTACTTCAGGAGCGTACAAAACACGCGAATTTACAAAGTGTATTCTTCCCAAACGTTCCCCGATATTTTAGCAATATTTATTAATGAGTATCTTGCCAACTGAGCTGTTTTTAAAGTGAAAACTCAGTCGTTTACGCATGGTGATTGTATGGAAACCGGGAGTTGTAATGGAGGATCTGACTACTCAAATGGCAATGAAGTCATGCAAAAACTACTGTTTGTGATTTTTCTTTTAAAATTTTTAGCAAATTTTTTTCGACTTATGGGGGGTGGGGGGTACCGAACCCGTTACGTACGGCTGTAGGGGGTAAAAAAATTTGTTACGCGTTGTTACAAGGGGTAGGGGGTGGTGAAAAAACGGAAAATTTGCGTTACGTAATATTTGAACGCCGCCTTATAATAAATTGATTTGTTTCTTACCGCCAAATCTAACGACGCATTACTGGAATACTGGAGATAAATAAGCTTCCCTTGGTTCACAGAAACAGGATAAATTAAAAATGGCCGTGAATCGTTGGCTGGCTCACTTTGGAAGGCTTGTAAGACATCGCTGTTCAGACTCCATGGAGGAATGTCAAACAGACGGAAGTTCAAGGGACAAAAATCTCCTGGCATGGTGCATAACTTAATCACGAACGCATCCTTCCGGACAACCTTGGCTGCGTCCTCGGTATTCGGTACAAAGCGCACTGCCTCAACAGAAATAATTTGCTGGAACAGACGCTGGCCAGCTTTTATCTCCACAAAGACAAATTCCTTCCAAAATAAGCGCCGGATAAGAAGCTGGGCGGGATACCACGTCCACGGTTGGTCAGATGCGAAGCGCCCCAACACCTCAATCTGTGGGATGGGATCACGCTCTAGAGCCATCTGAAAGAGGATCCGGTCTACGTCGTAGCAGCAGTCTCCTTCGGAATAACGATGGAATGCCTGTCCGTGGTTAACCGGTTCCGCTCGTCTGCCGGGACAGTCGAAATCGACAATGAGCCCTTCGTCACAAACATTAACTACCCAACCATGCTGGAAAAGACCGCCACTGCTCTGTACCACCACGGCATTCCAACGGGGCGCAATCTGAGAATATGCTCGGAAGATGCCCATTGTGCAGTGTCCTGTATCGATGTCAGGATGATTGTACTAAAGCGTTGAAGACTTAGCAGTGTTATGTAAAATGGTACTTGAAATAATCTGGAAAGTGCGCAGATGCTTACTGGATAGTGATATGACAATGTAGAAAAGTTGTTCGTGTAAATTAAGAACATAACATCGAATTCGAGATTATAAATCAGAGGTCTGCTAATTCGTAGTATTGTGCCAGTTCTCTAGACCAGATGGTTCTGTAAACTGTTGTTCGATTATGAATGTATATGATTGTGTCAGAAACGATACAAAAGACCTCGAACAGGATCGGTAACGGCAATGTAACCAAACATCCGCCAAGCAGAACTTTCATTTGTGCATCGTTGTGCAGTTTCGGATTTGGCCGCTCTTTAGGTGCATTCTCTCATCCGGCTGCATTGAGCATTGAGCAAGTGTTTCCGAAGAAATAACGTGCCATATTTATTATTGAGCTGCTCAACAGAAAACGAATACTCTAGAGCGTCAACCAGGAACGAATTTTGGCCATATGAATCGGCACTTTACTATATTGAAATTAAATGTAGTGAAGTGTCGATTCGAAAGGTCACTCTAGATAATTTTTTCTGCTGACCGTAACATCACTTAAATTAGTCAATGAAGATTAAATACATGTACATATCTGACAGCAGGTGGTCGGGGCATCTCAAAATGAGCGCCGATACGCATTCAGTCTTGTGCTGGTGTGCTATTCATCTCAATGGCCTGGGTCAAAGCGAGAAAAGGAATTAGTACTGCTGTTTTAAAAATAATGGTCCCTCACAATTTTATTGTTTGAAAAACAGTGGCATCCTCTGAAATTTGTTGTTTGAAGAATAATGGCCCCCCTCCCCAGATAAGCGCACCTTCCCGCAATAACCGCCCCCGCTCCAGGATATTCGACTATGCATCTGCCGCCCAGAGCGCATAATATCAGAAAGTGCTGCTTTATCCAGTAGCAGTCGCATAAACACTGATTATGCAATTAATTTGTAGACATATGATCCAGAAATTTTATGCTCATCTACGCTAATAAGAGGTATGTGACCATTTTGTGCAGTGTAAACAATCGGATATTTTATGTACTGTTAAATTTTCTCCCACTTCTGCTCTTGAAAAAAATGGGAAACAACGAAAACGTTTAAATGAATGGTACTTACGGGTCTATGTAGAAGGAGCAAGACCACATTGAGCAATTTGAGATAAAAGCCATAAACTGAAAACAATGAAACAATCATCTTACGTAATACTTACGTAATATACCGAATGATGTAGTGCACACATATGCACAATAATGTAGGACGAAATGGTTGCACGCCCAACATATCCACATTCAGTACACATTCAGCGCAGTGCACTGGAAGATGTACAGTAGTTCAAAATATCCGTTCGTACAAGTGCACTGCACCGCATGCGCACAGAATGCTGGGTATGGGGTTATGCTACCATTTCGTCCTACATTGTAGTTGTGTACTACTATAAAAGTATACATTAGTAAAAATACAGATGCTTGCGGCAAATGGCCGTTTACTCTTACATTTTTTAATTTTCAGTCGACCGGAAGGGATCAAGAAAGGCCAACGGCAACAGTGCTATCGTTAACTGGATCAAGCCGATGCACAAATGAAAACCCTGAGTATGAGGTTGTAAAATGAAACAACAATTTGGAAAAAAAACTGCTTAACTAAATCTCAAGCTGGAGAACAATCTCCCTTGATTCGTCACCATTAAAATACATGATGCTAAGGTACCGGCTCATAGGCGGGAATGTCTGAGTTAGAACAAGCAGTAATTGCCAAAACTGAAGCAATATAATACCAATACTAGTAGTAACAGGTTAACGGGCATATTTCGTGAAATTGCAACTGGAAACAACGGGACTTACTGTAATTACGAACAACGGTTAACCAGTAAGCAACGTAACCAGCGATATTTCCGTATCGTCGCGGACTAAAACAACGGTCACAAGATGCAAAACAACGGCTAAATTGATAACACGTTAACCAGGTATATTCCCTAACCTTGCAGTTGTCCATCTAATTTACAAATCTGTTTTATTTTAAACTCCATAACTTCTATTATTTGGTCGTCGTCGCTCGTCGAGAGGCCGGGCCAGAGTTCACAGCGTCTACGAATAGTATTCGTCGAATACTACGAGTAATGTTTACACCAGTACAATGTAATCTCTGCAACCGAGAACTCTCACGGGTTAATCGTAAATGTGAAGGCTTTCAATGGAAGCGCCACATGAATAATCAGAAGAAACATAATTTTCAGTGCGCCTTTTAGAGCTTTACAAGCAGTGCATTATTGACTCTCCTATTTCCAAAGAAGCTTTGACATAGACTTTTACAGTTATGTACTGTGCATTTTAAACAAGATCCAAAAGTTGACAGTAAAACACTCACAACGGCGAAAGGTTCCTTACTCACGGGAATGATTATTTCGGAACGCACTGGCTTTCTTTTCTTTTCCTTCTTTCCTCGCTTACTATATTGCAATAGACTCTTATCAGTCTTATGTGCAAAATTGCGCAGAACGGGGTATTCCGTTTACTAGTCAGATGGCGTTTTAGGCACTATGACAACGATTAAAATTGCTGCCACAAATACATCGGCGGATGTTGTCGATCTCAAGTGCCAGCGAGGCATCCCCATTATCCACAAATTCTGATATTAACTTTTGTAGATCACCTATCAGCAATTCAGCTGAGCGGCGTTCTCTACTGCTAACGATTAAACACTGCTTGACAATTAAGGATAGCTTCTCCGGCATTCGCTCACTAACGCGCGGTGCATAGCCCTCCATGATTTTCATGGCGAATGTCGCGTTATGGGTGTTGTCCTTTATCGTAAAATCAGCAGAATCAATTTTGTACAGCAATCGTCCGCGGATGCTGCAGGACGAGTCGAATAAGTCATGAAAGATGCATCCCATGCTCCAGATATCCGTTGCTTTGCCAAGGCCAACGCATTCCATACCGCCAAATTTTCGTAACATTTCCGGTGACATGTAACGAATTGTGCCGCGCAGGTTTGACATGTCGCTGACACTGGTCGTACTATGGCGCATCTGTACGATGCTGTCCAGATCCCCGATCAGTGCCGTATGATGACGATCTTGGTGTGGCTTCAGCAGAATATTTCCTGGTTTCAGGTCTCCGTGTACTAGCCTCTGTTTGTGTAAGAATTCCAGTCCAAGCGTAATCTGTATGGCATAACAGAGCGATTGTGCACGATTTAGGGGTGTGTTAGTCGTTTTCAGATCGTGCAACAAGACCGCCAGGTCCCCGCCTACGATGAGAGGTGTTATTAACTTTAACCGTCATAAGATGGTCTTCTTCGCAGGATTGGCCGTTGCAGTGTGCTAATAGACGAATATGCATTCCTACCGCTGCAAAACTCCATCAGGAACTCCACAGAGACACACGCTCTGGCTTTTTGTTTAATAATAGAAACCTTATGGTACGCCACCAAATGCTCGTACGTCAGACTGATTAGCAGTCTCCATCTAGCTAGTAATCTGAGCCAATTTTGGTTGTCCATTAAAAGTTCATCATTCTTTTCCAGATGCGTGACTTTGACCACCACGGTGTCCTCGCCCCTGAAACCACCGGGCGTTGTGATTTTGGCAGTGTATACTCTCCCGTATGAACCTTGAGCAAGAAAATTCCATGTTTTATAGTCGTAGGAGCAGTCACAACCCAGAGTTTCAACTTCATAGTCTTCCGGCTCGAAATCCGTAACTTCTTTTTCCTGTGCAGTAAGGATGTATTTATACCCTTTGATGTCGTTGAGATATTGCCAATATGGCCTATGGCTATTTGCAGCGGAATAGCCATCGATTATCTGACCAGGTTACAGAAGAACCTTAGACATCTTTCAAATTTGCGTAAAAAATAACACTACTCAGGAACTGCAGCGCGAATGGCACTTACACGAATGACTGCGGAGATTTCTGAGTGTTGACATCGCGGAAGTCCGTGCTGTCTCGAAAAACTGTTTGCACTATCAAGTTCGGTGACTAATTCTTCCTAGAAATCAACGCTGTTCAAGGAAGTGACATGGTGCGTGGTGGTGGTACCAAATTCATGTACATGCACGAAAGCATTTACTTTCGCGCACTCCCAATTTCCAAACACTTTTCTGCTTTGTTTTATGACATTCTGTAATCTGTAGCCAGCTGATTTGAAATACATAAGCGTGAAAACAGTTTCTACGCGCAACATCTTCGGTTCGGGAATTATGGCTGTATGAAAATTCCAAGAATTTTAAATGCATTTCGGTGTACCCAGTTTCGTTACTAACCGATCTTCTTTAAATTTTGTATAGAAACGCACATATGCATAAAGGCCCTTTTTGCACCAAAACATATGTAGTTCTAGCATATTTTCCAAATTTTAAAATGAATATTTAATTTTTTAATTCATTCTAAAATTTAAAAAAAATGGTGCAACCTTGGTTTAGTGCAAAACGATTTTCATACTTAGGGTGGGTCTCAGATTCGAAGCGAATCTAGTTGCGATACAGCAACTCCACCTCGCGAGGTGGCTTCGCGTACCGTATCTGTAGGCGTGGCCACTGCATACAGCCACCTCGTGCGGTTGAGCAACCTTACCATAGCGAGATTCGCTTTGAATGTGAGACCCACCCTTAAATTCATTTATGTAATTATGTACAAAATTTAAAGAAGACCGGTCCATAATCAGACTTCTGGTATACCTGAATTCAGCTAAACTTTTGAATCTTCTTACAGCCATAACTCCCGATCCTAATGTTGCGCGCGCAGACGGTTTTCCCACTTATGTATACAAATCATCTGGTTACAAAATGACATAAAGCAAAGTAAGAAAGTGTTTGGAAGTGTGCGAAAGTTTTCGTGCTTGTACGCGAATTTGGTACCATGTACCGGACCACTTCCCTTAAAGGCAGTAAAAGTTAACAAGATTACATGTTAACAGGATTATAGGCCTATTTATTTACTGCACACAGTCAAACTGACCATAAAGTGTGGAACTCTAGAGCGTGTTTCGTATTGCTTGCAAGATTGTACCTCTTCCAGAGTTCTTCTTCCCAGCTCCATGGGCTTCCAGGCAAGCCAACGTGCTTTTCGCCGCCAGCCAATGAGCAAAACGGAAACGCCACCCAACACAATACTGCAAGCCACGGCTATCCCAACGATTGATCCCGTGGTAAGTACCACTTTGTTCGGCGGGACTGGATTTAGCGGCAGTACAGTAGCGGTGGAGGTACGTTCGTTACCAGAGCGCTCATTGATTTCCGGCAAATCACCATTGAATGTAACACCTAGGCCGTTGTCAAAGCCACTGAGCTTGTGCGGACACTTAATCTTTCTAGGGTCGTTTTCGGAGCAACTTGGGCCTAGTAATTATAGACAGTAATTATGGCAAAATAAGCCTTTCGGATCTGGAAAGCGTTGTATTGAAGTCAGGAATTACACTTAAGCCATTCTAAAACGCCCGTTTCATTAAGCCAACATTAATCAGCAGCTTTTTTGTGGGAAAATGTCCTTACACGTTGCAAAAAAGTCCAGCGGGAGAACCGACATATCATCGATTATAGACTGTCCACAAAACACTCTAACGGTTACTTTCGATTCTAAATCCGCTGAAAATCGGGTGATTTCTTCAGCCCATAGCATAAAATCTTCAAATCCACAACAAGCGCATTCTGCTTTATTACAGAATTCGTTGAAGGTGAAATCGTAGACAGCTTTCTGATCTGGATTGTATATCCTGGGTGCTGTGAGGGACTGCAGAACTTGCGATGGTATGGCGGTAAGATTGTTATGTGTCAGAAACAGTTCTTGAAGCTGCATGGCGAAATCAGCTCCAGTCATCAAAATTTCATCAAGTCCAGTTATTTGTTGTCCCATATTCAAGGACTTCTACAAAATTTGATAGAGACTGACACTACATTCTCTGGAAGTTTACATTATTCGTGCTAAAAATTTTTAACAAATCTCCACCAAGTAACGTAAAAATGTCAAACGATGTACGTGCCAGTTGCGTACCAAACTACTTTGGATAGGGTAGAAGACACTCCAGTCCAGCACATCCAGATAATTCCCAATCATATCGATCTTGGAGAGTACCGCTTGATGCGATGGCATCACCAGCCCTTCGAATGTATCAACAGTAATTTGTGCGATGTCGTTATTCTGTAGATCCAACACTGCCAACGCTTCGAAACCTCGAAAATATTCAGCGTCTAGATATCCGATTCTTGATTCTTGCACCGTTAACTCTACGATACTCATGCACAAATTAATTAGCAGGTGATGCAGCGGAATACGTCGCTCGCCATCGGCCACAAATCCAACTAAACGCACTTCTTTGAGATCAATGCGGCGAGGAAAGGGCTGATAGTTGCGGCGAATGACGTTACACGGGTTTCTGTTACTGGTAGGGCATGATATATCCATTCGTGCCAGGTCCGTACCAATTGCACTGACATTAAACGTGTCTGGAAATGTGAGATTATCATTCAGGCACGCGAGAAATGTTCCCGACGGATACTGGTAGGTCCTGACATGCTCACAGTTTGCGTTAGGAATTACGTCTTGAGCAACGGCCGATAAGAAATACAAATGGAAGAAAAGCCTGAAGCTGTGAGTGAGCATCATTCTCTGAAAGAAGAATTTTAATGGGTTCTTCACAGCACATGAAGTCTACAAGATATTCGCATGGCGTAATAAACCTAACACCTAGTACATGAATATATTTGCGAACCCAAACGACTATCCGCCTGTTCGACCTTGCCGACAACTTTCAATTTCCAACGTTTTGGAGCCATAAAGAAAAAAAAATTATAATTTTAGCTGCCACGTTTTCTTAACATTGGTTATTTCATTAACAGTTATCCGCTTGTGTGTAAGATGTGCTGCCACTTTCAGTACATTACTCCGATCGATGTTAAAACGTACTTAGATCACGATCGGTAGAGATCGCTCAAGCTGACGAAAGATTAGCAGCAATAAGCCCAAAAAGGTACCTTAACCGCAGCTTATATGTACAAACACCTATTTTGTAGCACTTTGCGCACAATAAATTATAGTTGTTGCAAAGTGCTTATTTAATTTTTTCCTTGGCTGCGCAATTACTATAACCTACGTGAGTCGTGAAGAGCGATTGTTAACCTGTGTTCAGTAAAACGATCCCGAATTATAACAAAAGGAGCTAAAAAAAGTAATTTTCAGGCCATGAAAACCGTTCATGCGCAACATCCGGTTGGGACGTTCGAAATAAAATCCAACAATTATAAACGCTAACAGGTGTAAAAAGGTCCCCGAATGGGCCGATCTTCAGATTTCGCATAAACGTTCACATAAATACGGTATACTGTAGATATATCTCTTACATCGAACCGCAACTTCACTAGATTACAGGTGCGCAGCTCTTTTATCGGGAGTAAATACGGGCATAATGGCAGTTTTCTTTCCGACACCCGGAACGTAATTCGCCGGCATTTTATCAAACCCAGACGAACTGCACAAACGAGGCGCCAGACCTTATACCTCCATCGGCTCCACGCTAATGGACTACTGTGACCCTATATCTATAGGACGATGGGAAAATTTTTGGTCAGATTCCGCCTTTTCCCAACGAACTGGATGGCCAGCTTCTGATTCGCAGGACATTGTTATCCGGCTCAGTAAAATTATATTCACCTGTGCAGACTCTGTACAATAGTCACCGTCACACCAATGTCTTTTGTCAACTGCAAAATTGTGTTCTGGCTCTTTGGGTATTTAGAATATTTGCACTGCCGAAGTATTTACGAAGTGAAGCTGGTAACAGACCATTATACAGTAGGTACCTACCATCATGCGAACACATATCACCCCGGAACAATATGATTACGTATTTACGTTCAAAATCTATGACGTCCTGATTAGCGAGATTTGTGTTACCCTTTACCAATAACCATTTCCTGTGTAGCCTATGTTAGAGACTTCTCACTCGTTCCGGCTAGAAGAAAGTTGCCGGTGCCTCATGACCCGTACTTACACATTTATACACAATAAATTACGACTTTTATGCAACGCAGTATTTGAAGAACCGTTTCGGTCATTCTTATTGTTGTGTTGTTGTTAATTGTGCTTGAAATTCTTATCGTTATTTTGAAAAGCACCATCAGTTACTACATCAGCGCTTGGACGAATGACTCCTGGATGCATGTGTACAGAGGTAAGTAATGAATGCTGCATTGTTGTTACGCACACTTTTATGTAAATTATTTACTACACAGTGACTGTGTAGAGTATATAATATAGATAATAATATAGACTGTGTCACAGTCTATATTATTGGCATTCATAATGTACACTGTACAGTATATACGAGCACATAGCGTGAATGTTACGTACGTGTTATGTATGTACACAGTACATTGACAAGTCATTGTGTACGTATTCATATGACTGTATGATTTCATTTTGTGTGTACAGATATGTATGTACCATAATGTACGCACTTTACGGTTAACGATAAATTGGTTAACGTAAAGTAAATCTACAATGTCAATTAGCGACTCTCCCCGATTCAAAAGCCTCACCCTGAAACGATAATTCCAAATCTTAAATCCTTATCGCACAGAAACAGAAAAACTAGACCTATAAGAAATAAAAAACCGAAGTCCACATCCATATTAATCGTATTCCTTACGGTCATTGTCAATTAAGAAGACCGCTAAGTGCTTTTAGAGGCGAAAATCCCAACTGTTCCGCCAGTTGCCGAATTCCGGATGCGACCGCGATGAGTTGCGCTGATACCATTCATCCGGGGACTGCTCGCTAAGGACCATCGCACGATTCAATGCATACAGTTTTAGTTCCCCTAATTTTTTTAAATGCGTAGGATGTAGCCGAAGAGGACTTTGGTTCTCTAGAATCTGCGCTAGGATCTACAGCGAAAACCAGGTTAGCAAAACACGTACGGTGTTCTCGTTGTGTCGATGGAAACTTACCCAAGTGACTCGAGCCGATTCATGGCACTCCTTTTGCAGATTGGCCATCCACGCGGAAATAAGAGATAAATCGGGGTCAACGCCGCAAAGATGTTTCTCCACGAAGCAGCAGAGGTCGGATGCGAATTTCCGGCCGTCCTGATTCACCGGCATTCTACCACAGCGCAACGGTTCGGCTTTTAAAGTCGCGTAAGGCCCGCTGAAGGTGCAATCCTTCCACAGTAACATGTCAACAACGGAGGGCACCCCTACAGCAACAGAAGGCTCGTCCGCCCAAAGAATGTCGTCCAAGCGCAGGCGAACGTTGTGGAGAACAACAGTGAATTTCTTGACGGTACGTGGATTTTCGATGGCGAATTTGATGACGCGCATGCAATCACTCATGACCTCATAATAGCTGCCCAGGTTTGCGTTACTAATGATTCGCTGCGTATCCGGTGTGACGCATTTCCATAAGGAAACGCCAACAGTGTACACTGAACGTAGCCATACGTCAAACTCGGCGCGGGAAGCTTTCTTTTTTTCTGGAATGTTGGCCGTAGAGAAGATTACCCACACCACAGCGCTGATAGCCGCTGTGTTCAGCAGTGCCTTCCACAGCGAGCAGACACGGCGACATTTGATGCGGTACACAGTGGGCAAAAACTGAAAGGTCAGCTGCAAGATCTCCATCTGCAGTGACAAGGGTTCAGCGGAACCTCCGGCCGAGATTGGAGGATTCGGTTCCGGTGGAACCCAGCGAGCTTCAGCCAGCAGCCATCCTTCAGATAACTGCTTCTCAGTCTCGGTTTTGATTTCGATAACATAATGTACCTGAAAGTTTATTAAGGTCCTGAAAGTTAAGATGTACCTGAAAGTTTTATACAAATGATAAAATGATTCCGTTTAGCAAGGTAAATTTGCTGCACTACTATAGCAATACTATCTGTAAAATTTATAGTTCGCCGTGCGATGTGATAAAAAGCTATTGCGCATAGCTACGTCCTTTAGCATGCTGTAGCCGTTGGCGCGTATAAGGCGTGATCGTGAGCATAATTTTTGCTAAATATTTTGGCCGAAGTATACAACTATGTAATGTATGTGTGTATAGAATTATTTTCCTAATATACAATGCTTTCGTTGTGCATGTGCTTGTTTGTGTGCATAAGGTCGCGAATCGTTGGCCGGTTCGCTTTGGAAGGCCTGCAACACTTCGCGGCTCAGATTCCACGAACCATTATCAAACAGATGCTATCCCGAAGGGCTTCCAGTCAAAACACCCCAAAACCTTTTTGGCAAGGTGCACCGTTTGATCACAAACGCTTCCTTCTGGACAATCTTCGCTGTGCCGCTGTTGGTCTCCACAAAACTCACCGCTTCAACAGAAATCATTTGCTGGAACACACGCTGGCCAGATTTTATCTCCACAAAGACGAATTCTTCCCAAAATAAACGCCGGATAAGAAGCTGGGCGGGATACCACGTCCACGGTTGATCATATGCGAAGCGCCCCAACACCTCAATCTGTGGGACAAGGTCACGTTCTAGTTCCCTTTGAACAAGTATTCGGTCTACGTCGTAGAGGCGTTCTCCTTGTGGAATACCGATCGAATGCCTGTCCGCATTTAACCGCCTGCGCTCGCTTCCCGGGAACGTCGAAATCAACAAGAAGCCCTTCATCGCAAACATTGATCACCCAACCGTGCTGGAGAAGACCGTCACTGCCCTCCACAACCACCGCATTCCAACGGAGCGCACCTTGAGAATATGCTCGGAGGTGCTCATTCTGCTCGGGCTCGACAATCGTCGACAAAGTCAGTTATCAGTTTAAAAAATTAAACTTATGGAAACAGTAATAAAACTTTAGCAGTGTTAAGGAAAGGGACACTCAGATTACTCTTTCAAGCGTACTGGATTATAATTTCGGTTGTACTTGTACAGTTGTACTGAAAAATGGATCACAACCACTTAATCACAGCCAGTAAATATACAATAATATGATTTCTAAAATTCATGATTTACCAGAGCAGGTTATCCGGCTGCGCGGCAGAAGTCTGCTAGTCTCGAACGCAAACACAAACCGGGTTTTATTGATTTTATTATAAAAGGTCATGTGAATAATGAACTTTGATGATTGTAATGCTAAGATTTAGTCGATTAAGACCATTGAATCAAAATACATTATACATGCATTAATTTTGATGGCAAGCGGACACAGCGTTACCTGAATAGTGAGACAAAACGCATCAGGGGGATGGCGGTTTAATCAAGCAAAAGCGAGCGTCTATGACCTATGTATGTACCGTTTACTGTTTTTGGTTTTGTAGTATTTCAGTTTGAAGCATATGTTTTCAGATTCGGATTAGAGTTTTGTGCATGTGTTTTAAATTCAGTTTAATGCAAAAGATGTACCGTTTTGTTGGACAGCATTAAAGCCGATTTGCTTGAAGCTTGACTAAATTAGTTTTTACATCGCTTCCTTAATGAATGACGCTTCTAACATGATATGGACAATATTATCTAAACGAGTTTATATCGGGAGATACAAAACAGGGAAGCTGAGGTTCGGAATTCCTTTTGCAATACATAGAAGTGGTACAAGTACAATGAGTAAATGGACAGAGTACAATGGACGGCGCTAGTATGGTTACACCGATAGCCGATAGCGCTACCCTCGTGAAAATGAAAGTTACTAAAAACATCCAGCTAAGCACGCTATCGGTGTGCTATATACGTTAAACTTGTGCTTGCTATTGGCTTCAGTACGTACCCAATATTAGCATACCGGCTACTGGCCATAATTAATTATACCAATAAGTAGTAGCAGTACCAGTACCACAGCCACCACAAATACCACTGCACTACGGCTCTCCACTTTTTGTAAGTACTG